TTGCATTGTACAGGGTCTAACCATACGAGTGGAGTAGACAACAAGATTCAATCCGCCGTGCATGGATTAGTTAAGTTCTATCAAACCATCCCCACTACACTACTTAAGCCAAAGAGAAGCCAAATAACATCCAGTTTTACAATCTGGTTTTCTCAGGCAGCCATCACTACCAAGATAAGCCCAGCAGAAGCTAAAGCAGCATTATCTACTTAAACAGAAGACATGCTGACATGCATAGGAATGGTCCATGAACAGTAGCACCACTGACCTCAACACTTCAAGCTAATCATGCTAGAACCAAGAACACTGCCCAAAACGATCGCTTGTAGTACGATGTTGCAAAAGAACACTGACCACTCCACTCCAACGGACATTACGCTTGGATGATTCCGCAGCCTTTAGTACTGCCCCATCTCAGATTAGTCAGATTCCCCGCTATGGACCGCCCTTTCGCCCTTGAAATTGAAGATAAATCAGGATTGGGGAAGATGAACACCGCATGCCTCAGCAGTCAGCACCCTTGCGTTCTGCAGGAAGTACTTGAGAAAGGCCATCTCGCCTTCCTCCCCTCTGAATTCACGGATAGTCATAATCTCGATGCGCAACATAATGCTCAAATAGGGCCAACCTCATCCCACAACTTAAGTTCGAGCTTCCCAGTGGGTTCATCACATCTTTCACACTGCAGATTGGTTAAGTCAGTGAACAGTTCAACTACTGATGGATTATGCATTGCAGCAGCAACAGTAAAACGATGATGGATAATAACTGAAAAAATAGTAGCGCTGCTAATAGCATGCTAAAGCATTCTAAGCAATGTCTTGCTAAATAAATCAATGGACGATGTCTCGCTACAAGATAGCATATTTCAAGGACGGCACTAGTTTGCAATGGCACGCTATTTTTTGTTATTATGTATATAATGCTAGGAGCCTATAGGGTGGTGATGAAGATGAGTACCCTGATATGCAGACTCGACACATTAGGAAAGCACTTCAGGAAAGTGGCCAACATCTTGGCATCATCATGGACTCCAAAACGCACATTCAGGCTGAGCGTAGTCACGCTTGTGAACATAGTGTTTGCGCTTGGCTTCATCCCAGGAATGCGCCCAATTATTCAACAAAGAAAGATCAGACATTGAATTGAACATCTTTGCCAATTGAACAAATGGAAACTTTAGGTACGTGATCTACCATGATGATGGTGCCGCCGGCCTCAAGGGCGTACTTTCCTGGCTCCAGGTACCCGAATCGTTTCAGGTTGGGGGCATTGCCAATGTTGATCGCCGTGCGCAAGCCACTGGCAGAGTTTAGAGATCCCCGAACCTTGTACAGGATGAGCCGCTTGAGGCGCGGGGTATCCACCACGACGACGATCTCCATCACGGAATCGCAGATCTGCACGCACCGGAGGCTCTGGCTGACGAGGCGGAGGCCCAGCCCCTTCATGCTCCCTTGAATGTTGAGGGTCTCCAGAACGGGGCTCCTGGCGACGATGGCTTCGACATCCCCGTCCTCCATGACGACGCTGAAGATGCCGAGCTCGCGGAGGTTGGGGAAGGAGGCGTCGCCGAGGCAGGCCACATCAGGGAACTTCCAGAGGCCGACGTAGAGGCGGGTGAGGGTGGCGATGCGGAAGAGCGTGCCAGGGAGATTCACCTCGCGCGGGCAGGGGCGGTTGACGAGGACGAGCTCCTGGACGCCCTTGGCGGCCATGAGACGGAGCCAGCGCTTGAGCTTGGCGTGGCACGCGTCCATGGGGGTGCAGAGGAGGTGGACGCAGCGGAAGGGCCCGGGATGCGCCGCCAGGGCGCGCGACACAGCGGCGGAGACGGCCGGCGCGTCGGCGCGGGTCGGGGGCCAGTGTTCCAGGAGGTGGGTATCGACGAGGACGAGCGGCGCGGAGAGCCAGACCCGGCGCCAGCGCGTCGCGAGCACGGCGGTGCGCGCGGCTTCCTTGAAGGAGAGGCGGGAGACGATGTCGTGGAGGAGCGCGTCGGAGAGGCCGCTGATGCGGTCGACGCCGTGGTAGGGGGCGGTACGGCGGGCGGCGAGGCGGGCGGTGTGGGAGACTGGCGGCTCGGGGAGGCAGGAGTAGATGTACGGCAGGAGCTGCTCCGCGTCCATGGTCACCGGCGGCGGGAGGATAGCAGAGCACGAGGAGCCCGGCTAGGGTTTCGGGCGGAGAGGCGAGCGACGAGTGAGGAGCGAGGTGTGTATGTGAGTGAATGGCGGCGACGGTGAGGAGAGGAGATGTAGGGTTTGGTCGGTGGCGTTGTCTGCTTCGGGCGGCCCAAATGTTGGCAACTGGGTGCTCTTGGGCCCATCAATTAGTAGTAGTAGTATTTAATTTGCTTTATTTATTTCGAAGTCCACTGTTAATTCACTCGATGAGAGCAAGTAAAATAAGGTATGTAAGTCGAAAATGACTGTTACTGCTCGAGCTACATGGATATCTCTTCTTAAAATAAAAATAAAAATCACATTTTAAAGTTCCTAAAAATATGAGAGAATACACATGAACCTTAGGGACTACATCTTTGTATTTTTTCATGATGAAATACGTTTTGATGGGAGCTACACAAAAAAAATTCATATATTTCTAGTACATGCACTATTCTCTATACAAGTCCATAATTTTGTTTTTTTTATGCATCTCACCCCAAAGCCTATTTCATCATGAAAGTTTACATATAGTATACATTTATCCTAAAATCTAAAAAGTGCGCGCGTCTTATCCATTCGCCCATCTCCCACTACCTGCCTCCAGCAGTCCTCCCGGGTGACGCGGTCGCTGCCCCGCTCCTTCTCCTGGCCACGCGCCCTTCGCCGCGCTCCTACTCCTGGCGATGTGGATGCCACCCCGATCCTTCTCCCGGCTACGCCACCCGCCCCCACCGCCTACCTCGCGCCCATAGCTGCCGCTAGTGCACCGCCGCCGCTCACCTCCTTCTGCGAGCCGCCATCCCAGCCAAAAGGGCATGGCCGCCGCCCGTGATGCGTGATCTACTCCGGTTGCGGCCCCGGACGAGCGAACTACGGCGGGGATGCCACGTGAAGGAGCACACATTGCTGCTACCCAGCGCTCTGCCCGGCCATCGACTCTGTGTAGCCATCCCGTGATCTACTCCGGCTGCCGCCCACGCACTGCCCTTTAGTCGCCTCAGCTGATCTATTGGAAGGAGGAAACTTAGATAGTTCTTGAATAGTTTGACGAAAGCAAGAAGAAGATCCAGACAAGAGTGGGCAGCACGAAAGCTCATCTCGTTGAAGACGGAACATGGATCAGACGACAAGGCTACTATTGATGAAACATGGATCAGAGGACACACGGATCAAACGGCAAGAGTGTATAGAATAAGAGCTTCATGTCGGAGAGCGGCGATAGAGAGCTCGGGCGTGCGCGCTCTCGCTAGGTGGACCAATAGCGCAAGACCGCATCGGTGGGCCTCTTGAGCGGACCGTATACATGCATGTAGGCTTACTGTCGATATATACGGCACATATGTCGCGCAGTAACGGACGGAGATTAAAAATGTACCATCAGTATCGTTGATTGATCGCGGTACCTGACGTACTCGAGCAACAGTTCCGTCCAGAAAACGGCGTAGACATAGCGGTGGAAAAAATAAATGCGTTCGCAGGCCCAGAAGAAGCCAGGACCCCATCTCCCACCCCGCTCCCTCATTACGAGTGCTCTGCGGCGCCATCAGCAGAGAGCAGAGTTCATGGCGGCGGTGGAAGAGAACGGCAATGGATTGGAGTTCCTAACAGATCCTGTCGACAGGTATGGTTGCTACTTCATCTTCGTTGAAGCAGTAGCTCTGAATCTTTTGCATGGACCATCTAATGGATGGCCGGGTCTTCTCACAGGTTCCCCTGGCCGGATCTTGAAACCAACGATTTAACTCCGGCCGGTGAGGCAGGTACTTGTCTGACACAGTCGGCTGCTGAATCAAGCATGGGAGATGTTGGCGATGACCCACTGTCAATCCAATTGGCCGTGAATAACGGCTGTGAAGCACTGCGCTTGTCGGCGGCCGATTCGCAATAATCAACAGAAAAAAATGACCCTCAAGCCCCTGGTTGGACTAGAAGGTACACTCTCTTGGTCTTGATCCTGCTTAACTCTGAACATATTCATGCAAGCCATATTTGGGAAAACTAGAACTCTGAAGCACAAGGTGTATATGCATACTGCTCGCGTGTCGG